AATCAACTTAAAAAAAAAAAGGTATCTTGTCCTATGGGGAAAATAGTGTAAAAGAACTTGATTACGTATATAGAGTTATTTGTGTTATTAGATTGTTTTCCTTTTCCAAGTGGCACCCACATTTCCTTCTAGGAAAAACTAAAGAACATTTGCTTTTTATCCCACAAGATTATGAAATAAAGACCCTCACTGCTTTATGGCCTCAAATACCAATGGGTTTTCTGAATATGTACTTTAAAAGATATCACTACTCGTGTACGTGTGTGTGTGTGTGAGAATCACACATAGAACAATGGCATTGTCCTGTTTGTTTCTTATCATTTCCCTAAATCATACACAATGGTAAGTAAAGAGCAAATATTATGCATGCATTTCCTTTCTCTCTGAGTTTCACTTGTTTTTTACTATACCATAGGTATTAATAAGTTGGGGTTTCTAAATTTTTTTTTTCTCTCAACGTTTATTTATTTTTGGGACAGAGAGAGACAGAGCATGAACGGGGGAGGAGCAGAGAGAGAGGGAGACACAGAATCGGAAACAGGCTCCAGGCTCTGAGCCATCAGCCCAGAGCCTGACGAGGGGCTCGAACTCACGGACCGCGAGATCGTGACCTGGCTGAAGTCGGACGCTTAACCAACTGCGCCACCCAGGCGCCCCAATAAGTTGGGGTTTCTAAAAGGATGGTTTATTTTGCTGGCTAGGTGAATAGAAAGTAACCTACTTTTTGGCATTAGTACTACAGACTTAGATATTTTATTTTTATTTTTTTAACATTTATTTATTTTTGAGGCAGAGAGAGAGAGAGCATGAACAGGGGAGGGTCAGATAAAGAGGGAGACACAGAATCTGAAACAGGCTCCAGGCTCTGAGCTGTCAGCATAGAGCCCAACACGGGGCTCGAACCCACGGACTGCGAGATCATGACCTGAGCCGAAGTTGGACGCTTAACCGATTGAGCCACCCAGGCGCCCCGGGAGATCTTTTAAAACACACATTGTAATGCTCTTTGCTGAAAACTAGAAATAACATTTTCCTATTCGTTTATTTACTTATATAACAAACATGTAATCCATGCCTACTGTGCGTCTGGTATCACGCTACACACTAGGGATAAAATTTTAAACCCCATACAGTGCTTTCCCTTAGTGCGTCTCAGGCAGCGTGTGTATGATCAGATAATTACCATAGGACCTAATAGATTAAAAAATTACCCAACAATTGTGTTATGAACAGAGGGCTGTTGGGTCACAGAAAAGGCACTCAGCTGGGAGAAATAAGGGAAGACTTCAAGGAAGAGGTAATGCATTAATTACCTACAGAAGGAGATGTAAACCGTCAGTAGGATAAAAAGGAGAAGCTCATTGCAGGTAATGTGTGTGCCCAGCTCTTGGGAAGGTATGAAAGGACCTGTTGCCTTGGGGAAGCCTCAGGAAGTTTGCGAGGGAGGCTGGAAAGGTGGACCGGGCAGATTGTGAAGGGCTCCGTAGGGCATGGTGTGATCAGTGACTATATGATTCAGGAATTTTAACTAATCTAGATGCTGTCTAACTGATTAACTTCTGGTGTTCATGAAAGTAAAACAGATTTGAAAGTTAACAGATTTGATCCTGTGGGAACATGGCATGACTAGACTTCAGTTTTATCCTCAGTAAGCAGTCTAAATATGTTCTCTGGTCTCACAAGTGACGAGATGAAAACAGCCGCGTCACTGCGTGTCCTTAGCTGTGACGGGAGAGGCTGCTAATTCTGCACAACACACATTTACCGAGCACATGGCAGACAGTCTGGGAGGCGCTGGGAGGTGTGCCCTGTTGCCTAGGGTATACGCAGCTGCCTTCTTGACTTGTGCCCGTGGTTCCTCGCCAAGGCATCAAATAGTTGACATGTCCACACTGCAGCTCTCCCCGTCATCTCTAAATGACTCCTCAAACCTCAACCTAGGGGTTATTCTTGGTGCCTCCTTCCTTCTGACCCACTACGTCTCACCCCTCATCTTTCCCGAGCTGTGTTGGGAAACTTTCCATTTCCTCTGTTCCCACCGCTGATGGTCTGGCAACCTCTTCTCCGGCCAGTAGGCTCCTGAACTGGTCTCCCCTTTCATTTTGCTTCCTCCCTTCTCCTTTGTTGAGAAAATGGCCATGATGGTCCTTAAGAAACTTAAATCACATTATGTCACTTCCCAATCCACACCTTTCATTGACTTGCTATCGTACCCCAAAGAAAACCCAAACGATTTCCTGTGGCCCACGAGGGCCTGTGCCCTCTGGCCCTGCCTGCCTTACGGAGACCGACCCAGCCCTCTAATACCACATTCCAGCCACAGGGGCCATTTTGTTCTCCCACTTCCCACCGCATGGCCTTGGCACATGCTGTTTCCAGTTGCCACCTTCTCATCATAGATATTATCTTAAATATTCCTAACACTTAGCCCTCCATCATCAGAGTCTACTCTGCGGGAGGAGTCCTGTGATCCTTTTATAACTTCCTGTTTTCCCTCTCATTCACATGCCACGATTATGATTATGTATACATTTGCAGTTGAGCCTGTATAATCTATAATCACTGTCTCCCCAACTAGACCAGTAACTCCCTTGGAACTGCAATCGTGTGTGTTCTCTTTACCCTCTATTTTCAGAGCTTAACACTGTGTGGCACACAGCACACAGTGGGTCCTAAAGAGTTGTAAGAAGAGCATTTAAACATAAAGATAGGTTGGCTTTTTAAGTTTCTAAACCTTTAACTACAAATAAGAAAAGCGTGAAAAATACAACTATTTTTTTTAGTAAAGTATAATTGACATATAGCATTATATTAGTTTAAGGTATTTAGCATAATGATTCATTATGTGTATGTGTAGTGAAATGATCTCCACAATAAGTCTAGTTTTCACCTGTGACCATACAGAGTTACAAAATTGTTTTTTCTTATGATGAGAACTTTCAAGATCTCTTAGTGACTTTAAAATATGTAATACAAGGGGAGGGGCGCCTGGGTGGCTCGGTCAGTTAGGCATCCTACTTCAGTTCAGGTCATGACCTCATGGTTCATGAGTTCAAGCCCCGTGTGGGGCTCTTTGCTGACAACTCAGAGCCTGGAGCCTGCTTCGGTTTCTGTGTCTCCTCTCTCTCTGCCCCCCACCCCCCCCCCGCCCCAGCCACCACTTGTGCTGTGTCTCTGTCTCTCAAAAATAAACATTAAAAAATATGTAATACAATATTATTGACTATAATCACCATGCTGTGTATTGCATTCCCATGTCTTATTTATTTCATAACTGGAAGTTTGTACTTTTTGATTCCTTTCATCCATTTTGCCTACTCCCTTTCTCAGCCCCTCTGATAATTACTGATCTGTTCTCTGTATCTCTCAAGTTTTTTTATGTTAAATATAATTTATTGTCAAATTAGTTTCCATACAACACCCAGTGCTCATCCCAACAGGTGCCCTCCTCAATGCCTGTCACCCACTTTCGAAACCCTCTCCCCCACCCCCCATCAACCCTCAGTTTGTTCTTAGTATTTAAGAGTCTCTTATGGTTTGCCTCCTTCCCTCTCTGTAAATTTTTTTCCCCCTTCCCCTCCCCCACGGTCTTCTGTTAAGTTTCTCAGGATCCACATATGAGTGAAAACATATGGCATCTTTCTCTGCCTGACTTATTTCACGTAGCATAACTTGTTTTGTTTCTTTAGATTCCATGTATAAGTGGAATCATATGTTACTTGTCTCTGCATAATGTCCTCCAGGTCCATCCATGTTGTGGAGAATGGCAAGATCTCATTCATTTTATGACTGAGTAGTATTCCATCGTGTGTGTATATAACCACATCTTCTGGATCTATGCATCCATCAATGGAAACTTAGGTTGCTTCCATACCTTGGCTAGTGTAAATAATGCTGCAGCGCACATGAAGATACAGATATCTTTTCAAATTAGTGTTTTTGTTTTCTTTGGGTAAATACCCAGAAGAGGAATTGCCAGATCATATGGTAGTTCTATTAATTCTTTGAGGAGCTGCCATACTGTTTTCCATAGTGTCTGCACCAATTTACATCCTTACCAACATTGCCCGAGGGTTCCCTTAAGAAGACTATTTTCTATGTTGTTGTTGTTGTTTTTTAATAATTGAAACTATTTTAGGAAAGGTACACAGCCCAGTATTACCTCACCATTAAGTGCAAGTTCTTAGAAATTAGCATGTGGTTATCGTACGATTTGGGGCTATTTTTAAAATAGTGATATATTCTGTAATGGAAATTCTGAGTTACTAAAATGAACTGCTCTTTTTATATATTTAGGGCTCAGTTCACTACAATGCTTAAATCCTTGGCTCTACTCTTTAGACCTACTACAAAGATCACATTAGAATTCATTTTAATAGACATTGTAATCACAGTATCCAACCTCGTAGGATCATGCTGGGCTCTTTTATTATGAGAATCACAGGAAGCAGAGCCTGAGGCTGCAGACTAGTGGCCGGGAGCATCCAAGGCTGTGGATGGTGCCGGCTCTATTGTTTATGGAACATTCTCTCCACCTTTATCTCTGGCGTGCAATTGGTATTGACTTTTGAGAAGCGACTTCTTCGGCCCGATCTCCCAGTTGGAAAAAGAAAAAACTGCCATAATGACATCTGGCCAGGAAAAAAGGGATCAAAGAACCATAAGGAAAGAAAAATTAGGACGCCTTGTTTAATAAGTAGTTTCGGGCCTGTCTTTCACATCTTGTAGAGGGAAGAGTGTTACGCTTTTTTGAGGTCACCATTCCTTTATTCCCTGGAAAATCTTAGTGAACTCCAACCGTGCCTATCGTTGTTGCTACTGATTGGTAGGGTTGGGTCTGTTTAGCAAAATGTCTTTTCATCCTTATAGATCTTTACGAATATGCACTGTTCGTTAAAACTAACATAAAGTTTGTTCATAATATGTATCACTTTTCATTTATGTTTGTTCTTAAAGAGGAAGATGGTCATCTTTGGCAAATTGTTTTTCCTAACTTCTAGGCCTATCACTTGAGGAGTTTTTAAGTATTGTAAGAAAAAAGAAGGAAGTTCAACTCCATCGGAACGAGATAAGACACATCTTCACAGCTTTTGACAGGCACTGTAAGTATCTTTAAATCATTTTGATATAAAAAAATTGCTATTAAGACAACTTGCCACGTACTCTCAGTAAATAAAATAATCAATATACTTGGAAGATTATTTTACTAAATAAAATGATCGATAGACCTGGAAGATTATTTTACTGTATTCATTAGCCATCATCTAGATGTTGGGGCGAATTTCTTTCTCTATCACAGTCTTAAATTCTTGACATTTTCCATGGATAAAATAATATTTACAGTGATGTGATTGTACTTGGAATTTGCCTACTTTGTAATGGGGACAGCAAAAGGGCTGGCCACATGGGGATATAGGTCATGAGCCACCTACAGAGGTGTGGGAGATCATTTGGCCTTTTTCCTTTGACTCTTACCTTGACCCACACATGATCGGAGGAATTGTTTTCTCACACTGGTTATGGCCAAGAGAAGTGGCTTCGAACCCCACAGATCACACGCAGGATGGAAAGACTCATGGAGTCCAGGGTCAGCGTCTTCGCTGCGATGATGGTTTCCCTCTAAAAATTCATATAATTCTAACACCAAGCAAGAAAATAAATGGATTTCGAAGAATAAATTGTTCTGGCAGTTCACAAAGACTTGAAGCCTAATGTGCCATTATGGCACCGTATGTCTGCGGTCCGTTCCCTGGCACTTAAAGAATCAGCAAATGATAGGGCTAGAAGTGGCCTGTGAGATCATCAGGGACTGCACAGAAGGGGAGTGTTACCAGATTCTTACATTCTTCCGGTGAGACGGTCTCAGATTACCTTATATTTATTGCTTTTCCCTGAGTAATGAAGTTTCGCGCAAATATGGCGGAGGTAACAGTTCCTAGGGTTTATAGGAGTAAGTGAATGTTTTATATTTTGATTTCAAAATAGACCGTGGATATTTAACATTGGAAGATTTCAAGAAAGCATTTAGGCAGGTGGCTCCCAAGTTATCAGAACGGACCATTCTGGAGGTATTCAGGTAAGGCACCACAATCTTTATGTACACCTACCCCTTGATTTACCATTTGCCTTTGCAAGGTTTCAGTCTTATGGAGAGCACGTATTTATGCAGATTTCCCCCTATCTGTACGCTTCATAGTGGAGCGCTTGCACACCAGGGGGGTGTATAGAGACATTCGTTGGTAAGGGTGGGAGAGGAGCAGGGGAGAGTGGAATGTCTTTGTGGATGTGTGTAGTGACCAAGAAAAAAAAAAATGAGTCTCTATTAACGTTTAACATGGATACTGGTGTTCCCCTGCGGTCTATTTCATCAGACACAGGCCCCACCTGGGTCTTGAGTTGTCTCAAGAGGAGAGTGGAGTAGAGGTTGCCTGGTGGCGGCACCCTCGTTCATTTGCTTTCAAAGTTGTTGGTACGCGTTTCCGTTGACACATCCCCGAGAGAGGAGACCTAATGGTTATATTATGTTGTTTTTATAGACGAGTCCCGACGACGTAGGCACGTGGCTTATACGCAGTTTCTGTTAGGAAGCTGCAGAATGAAGTAGTATTCATTCACGGCACAAACATAGGCTGACGTGACAGGGTGGGAGGGCTGAGCCTTCTCTGGGTCTTTGCGTGAGCTTTCCGTCAACTGTTACCAGGTGCGTTAGTTGGTGGTCCATACTACAGCAAGAGCCAGAAAACCCAGAATCACAAAACTCAAGAAAGACGGGCGGCTACTTCTCCCACATGAACACGGGCAGTCCAGAGCTGACTTGATGGCAATGCAGTCACGAAGGACCCTGGCCCCTTGTTTCTTACTGTTCTGGCTGCCTCAGTACCAGGCTTCTCCCCCTTGCTGCAACATGATTGCTTAGATTTCAGCCATCACATCTGAATTCCAGCTAGGTCAGAGGAGAGGGAGCAAAAGATATCCCCTTCCTCTGAAGGCCATCCATTGTTTCTACGTATATTCCAATGACCCAAACTTTGTTCCAAGGCCACAGGTAGCTGCAAGAGAGAAGGGACTGAAAAATGTAGTCTTTGCTCTGAGTAGTCTTGTGCCCTCTGAGTTTTGGACATAGAGGAAGGAGAGAGGGGATAGTAGGAACATACGGCCGGTGTTCCCATTCAGGATAAAAAAAAAATTCATGAAGTCTGACCAGAAGCCAGCCCTGCTCCATAGGAATTATCAAGCAGGTTATTTGAAGTAAGGATCTGTGCTCACTGTCATTAACAGTGACCTGTATGAAGCTCTTTGACTGCAACATTCACAAGTCAGTTATCGAACAAGCTATTGAAGGAGAGCAAAGGAGTTAAAGCCACATGTAGACAGAATGCCATAGGACAGTATTACTTAGTTGATTCTAGAACAACAAGACATTTGAGATTAGTAACATCTTTGGATACGCTTTGTGATGAGATGAGTAATGCGCCTCAATGTATTTCTTTTTTTTTTTAATGTTTATTTATTTTTGTGAGAGCGAGACACAGAGTGCAAGTGGGGGAGGGTCAGAGAGAGGGGGAGACACAGAATCTGAAATGGATGCCAGGCTCTGAGCTATCAGCACAGAGCCCGATGCGGGGCTTGAACCCACAAACGGTGAGATCAGACCTGAGCCGAAGTCAGATGCTTAACTGACTGAGCCACCCAGGTGCCCCAAACCGCAATGTATTTCTACACATGGAACATAGAATTATTATTTCATTTTTCTTTTACAAAAAGACAAGTGCCCACGTTTGCTGACTTTTATGTGTTAAACAGTCTCAGTAGGTGCAACCTCATACCTCAAGTGTATTTTTGAAAAATACACTCAAATACACTTATCCCTTCCACGTAGAAGTAGAGTTTTAACAATGAGGGACAAACAACTTCTCAAAAGAAATCTGCACTTCTGGGAGCATATTTTTGAACGTGAGTATTTGGAAATGTGATTCTATTTTAAAACATGATTTGTCACCTATTAAAGCCCTTCACACCCGCATGTTCAATAAGTTGGAAACGGAACGTCCTAACCCAGTGGAAAAAAATCTTCTAAAGTTTCAGTGGTTTTAGAACACAATTCCTGAAGAGATAAAAATTGAATAACTTTAATAAGCTTTCAAGAGCAACTAATATCAGGAGAGATGGACATCAACTAGCTAAATTTCAGTTAGCAATAACAACAAAATAATAATTTTTAAAAAACCCCACAAAACACCCCTAAACCTTTTCCTTATAGGAGGATGGAATTGTAAATCAAGGGACTCAGTGTCATGGTGTCCCTTTCCTGTTTGGGTCCACATATCTTCATGAGGTATCTCTGACAGCCATTAAAACCAGGTATTAAAACAAATTGCTCAATCATAAAAGATTAAACTGAAATGTTCAGAAATAAAGTATGTTAAATCACTTCGTTCTTGTTAGTATTGTTAACAGTTTTACTGACAGCAAAAAAATCATTTGCCACTAATAGTAAATATTTTTATCTTTAATTCTTCAGAATTTCTATATTATGACTTGTAATGTACGTGCTATATTAATAGCACATGTGCATATAACCTGTAAATAACTGTATCACATGCCCACAGATCTTATACTTCCTAGGGTTATGGATCAAAACAGTTTGGAGACTATAGCCAAACAAGACATTTTAGTTAATTGAAAGTGCCCATTTTAAACTCTCATTTTTATTATTTTTTAGCACCATAGACCCTAAACCAGAATAAATGATGCATAATAAGCATTAAAGTTGTAAAACCAAATAAGGAGAGAAAAATAGTTCCTCTAGGTGTAGATTGAAGTAGGCCAAAGACCCAGAGATGTCTGTCTTCCACAAAACTCTGTTTCAGTAGTGCCAACAATTTTCTTTTTTTTTTTTTTAAATGTTTGTTTATTTTGAGCGAGGGAGCGCACGTGGGCAGGGTGGGGGTGTGAGGGGAGGGGCAGAGAGGGAGAGAGAGAGGGAGAGAGAGAATTCCAAGCAAGGCTCCATGAGCCTGACCTGGGGCTCAATCTCACAAACCATGAGATCATGACAAGAGACAATATCAAGAGTCAGACGCTTAACCAACTGAGCCACCCAGGTACCCCAACAATTTTCAAAAGTAAGGAAAAAAATCAGCTGCTGAGGCTGTTAGTAGTACAAAATTACATAATATTTCTAAGGTTGGACACTCAGTTTTTGCACACCTGGAGTAGAGTTTGACTTAATTGACCACTGTGAATGGAATTCATTACCCAGGTCCATAGTTACCCAAAAGAAAGCTGATATCCAAAGACACTAGAAGAAGACAGCCAGAGATGGAGAATCCTAATTAGAGTCATCTGTGGTGTGAATAACTGAAGAAATTTTCATTACCTTCCATTCATTTACTGCCATATTTTTCCTAAAGAAACTTCTTTTTTTTTTTTTTTTAATTTTTTTTTTTCAACGTTTATTTATTTTTGGGACAGAGAGAGACAGAGCATGAACGGGGAAGGGGCAGAGAGAGAGGGAGACACAGAATCGGAAGCAGGCTCCAAGCCCTGAGCCATCAGCCCAGAGCCTGACGCGGGGCTCGAACTCACGGACCGCGAGATCGTGACCTGGCTGAAGTCGGACGCTTAACCGACTGCGCCACCCAGGCGCCCCCTAAAGAAACTTCTAAAGATCAAGAATGGTCTCTTTCGGAAGTAGTTGTCCGTATCACACCTTCATTTTTTAAGCCTGACCAACGAACCACAACAATAAAACCAGCCAAACAACCAATTCAAGAAGACAGACTTGGGGCATAAGGCATCAAAGAATCATTTTGGTTTTAATGTTAGATCATTCATTAAAGCGTCATAAGAGCTAAATGAGATCCTTGTAGAAGGTTTGTGAATTGCTTTCTAAGTATTCTGGGAATGTTTACATTATTGATTTTATCATGAATAAAAGCAATGTGTTTTCTTTTTAAAAAAATTTTTGGGGCGCCTGGGTGGCGCAGTCGGTTAAGTGTCCGACTTCAGCCAGGTCACGATCTCGCGGTCCGTGAGTTCGAGCCCCGCGTCAGGCTCTGGGCTGATGGCTCAGAGCCTGGAGCCTGCTTCCGATTCTGTGTCTCCCTCTCTCTCTGCCCCTCCCCCGTTCATGCTCTGTCTCTCTCTCTCTCCCAAAAATAAATAAACGTTGAAAAAAAAAATTAAAAAAAAATTTTTTTTAATGCTTATTTTTGAGCGAGAGAGGCTCAAACACAAGTGGGGGAGGGGCAGAGAGAGAGGGAGACACAGAATCTAAAGCAGGCTCCAGGCTCCGAGCTGTCAGCACAGAGCCTGACTTGGGGCTCAAACTCATAAACCATGAGATCATGATCTGAGCTGAAGTTGGGTGCTTAACTGACTGAGCCACCCAGGCACCTCAAAAGCAATGTGATTTTTAAAAATACATATTGTCAGGGTTTATAACACTCACATTTTTAATGGGTATATATAGTATAACATTTATGATTAGCAGTCATAATCTCTTGTTTTAGTCTTAATTCTACAATTATGTGGATTCAAAGCTCACCTCCAAGCCTTGTGCCATAGTTTATGCTTAGCTGAAGTCTGTCCTCTAGTAGGGATCATGAGAACTGTATTCTCTGGTGTCTTTCGTGTTTCAAAATGTTGATATCTGGGCTATCTTTGCCCTTAAATAAAAATACATAGTGGATTGAACATTAGCATTTTTGAGTCACTTTCTTTTTCTTTGAGAATGCTGGTTATGCTTATGTTGGAAGTCCTTTTTTTTTTTTTTTTATTTTTTTTTTAACATTTATCTATGTGTGAGAGACAGAGAGAGACAGAGCATGAGTGAGGGAGGGGCAGAGAGAGAGGCAGACACAGAATCTGAAGCAGGCTCCAGGCTCTGAGCTGTCAGCACAGAGCCTGATGCAGAGCTAGATCTCACGAACCGTGAGATCATGACCCAAGCCGAAGTCAGATACTTAACCTAGTGAGCCACCCAGGCACCCCAAAAGTCCTTTTAATTTTCTATTAGTGTCTCTTTCATTGGCTTGTTTTGCTCACTATATCTCATCACATATTTTCAGCAAA